GGAGAGCGGGGCACGGGCAGGTACACTGGGATATACACTGGGGAGAGTGGGGCACGTGCAGGTACACTGGGCTATACGCTTTGTTTTTCTTATGGGATGTGGATGAGGCCAACATTTGTCACCTATCAACCGAACGGCTCGCTTGACTGTTGACGCAGGGCAGTTAGCAATGAAGCACGTCGCTGTGGTGTCTGGAGCCACGTGTAGGCCCAGACCGGGTAAGGACGGCTGATCTCCCTCCCCTAAAAAAAAGGGAGCATGAGGGAACCAGATTTTGCAACAAATGACAATAGTTGTCACACTCTCACCATCACATGACACTAGCTTTCAAGTCCAGATTTTTAATGATTGAATTTAAAATCCACCAGCTGCCATGGCTGGGAATTGACCCCAAGTTCTCCAAAGCCTGAGCCTCTGGGTTGCTAGTCCAGCAACAGTACTGGCACACTGCCATCTCCTGCCCCTGCCCCCCTGCTCCCCCGCCCCACCTCCCTGTCTTAGTGAGCCCCATGGAAAGCAACAGCTCGATGAGTGTTGTTGCAGGAAGGAGATGAGCTATTCCACTAGAGGAGACGTTGTCACTGGCCCTAACACTGATGAAGGGGGACTGTTGGTGGGGGTTTTGTTGGGGTCCCGGTGGAGGGATTCGGACAGAGGATTGCCGGGCCTGAAGGGGGTTGGGGCGGCAGTGGCGTTAATTCAGTCAGCCTCTTGGTATCGTGCCTGGAGATCCACCATTAACCAGTCGCCATCTCTGTCTCGCTCTCTCTCTCACACACGCACAAAGACAGGGGAGCTGAGGACCAAAATGAGCCAGTCACACGAAGACAGCCTGACGTGCGCGGCGTGGAACCCAGATGGCAAGCGGTTTGTGACGGGAGGACAGCGCGGGCAGTTCTACCAGTGTGTGAGTACCTGGCAGGGAGTGGGGGGAAGGAACGGGGATGTAGTGGTTGAGGTAGGTGGGGTGTGGGCAAGTGCTGGGAAAGTGTGTTCAGAGGGAGGGAGGGTGCTGACACCCCGTGTACACAACCCCTTGATGCCCTGCCCCACAAAAGGATCTTGGGTCCACACAAGAGAGGGTGGCAAGACGATGCGTGGCTGGCAAGGGTGGGCACTGTGTAGTGTAGGCAGGAATCAATCCCATTTTCTCCACCCCCAGCTCTTCCCCCGTTCCTGATTGCAAAGCACATGGGGACAGGGTTGGGTATTTTAGACAGGTGATGCACTACCTGGCCCACTAGAGGTGCAGAGTTACTGGGATGGTGCTGAGGAGAGGGTATGCAAGCTGGTTATCTGTACCACCTTCCCCGCGAGATACCGTTTACGGGTGGAGAAAGGGTGGTTTCGGCCTGAATGACTGAGGTTAATGTGGAGGAAGGTTGGGGGTGGGGGGGAGCGGGTCACCTCTTTCTGTAGCTGGCGGTTGCACGTGAGAGCAGGAGGTTGGGGTCTGAGGAAGAGAGGAGGGAGTTGGGGATGCGGCACCTATCGGCTCGTCAAGCCCGAAGTGGTGGGCAGAGGGAAGCTGGCAGGGACCGAGCTTGCGATCATCATTAACTGCCCCACGTTTATCTCTGCACTGCTCCCTCTTTAACCAAAGGACCTGGATGGCAACGTGCTGGACTCGTGGGAGGGGGTGCGTGTGCAGTGCCTGTGGTGCCTGAACGATGGCAAGACGATCCTGGCCTCCGATACCCACCAGCGGATACGAGGCTACAACTTCGAGGAGCTGACTGACCGCAACATGTAAGTTTGGTCTCTTGTTTCACCAGCTGGGGCCAAAGCTATTCCCGTCATTCCCCACTCTCCCATCGCAGGCTTTCGAGCTGAAAGGTCGGCTCAAACCTGGTGTTTTCACAGCACGTCCTCATCACAATCCCTCCATCCTTAACCCCCCTCCACCTTCCTTAACCTCCCCCCCCTCTCCTCTTCCTTAACGCCCCCCCCTTCCTTAACCTCCCCTCTCTCTCCTCTTCCTTAAATCCACCTGCCCCCTCCTCTTCCTTAACTCCCCCTCCCCTGCCCCCCCACCTTCCCCCCACCCTGACACTGGAATGTCCCCCCAAAACCCCTGAAACAGTTGTCAACGTGCGTTCCATCCCATAAGCTATTCGTTGTGCCCAGCTAAATCCCACAGACAGCAGTGTGATCGTGAGCCAGGCCATATTTTCTGCTGATGTTGGTTGCGGGACGTATATAGAGTTGTACAGGAAGGAAAACAGCGCCTTTGGTCCAACCAGTCCATGCCAACCAGATATCCTAAATTAATTTGGTCCCATTTGCCAGCATTTGTCCCTCTAATCCCTTCCTATTCACTTACCCATCCAGATGCCTTTTAAATGTTATATTTGTACCAGCCTCCACTACTTCCTCTGGCAGATCATTAATGACCTCAGAATAAGGAAGACAGCCCTCCCCGCTCTTCTTCCAGCACACTGAGCCCCGGTCTGACCTTGAGCTGTCACTTGACAGTTTAAGCGGTGGGAGTTCGGACAAAATGTTCTTGTGCTCACAGTGATGTCAGTGTCATCTCACTGTTTTAATGAGATTAAAGTGAGACAGCTTTGGCTATGAAGATGCCCACTGACTT